AAAGTGAAAGTGAAAGTGAAAGTGAAAGTGAAAGTGAAAGTGAAAGTGAAAGTGAAAGTGAAAGTGAAAGTGAAAGTCACTCTCGACAAAAAGACAAAATGGCAATCATATCTCTCCTTTCTCGCTCCGTGTTCACACGCTATTGCTCTGCTAGCGCAATGGTAGCGCATTGGACTTCTACTTTTCGGGGATCCAAAGGTTGCGGGTTCGAGTCCCGCGTGGAGCTAAGGCAATCATTTTGTGGTTGCGAGGGCAGGGCGGATTGTCAAGCCTACTTCCGTACGTCAGCTCTGTACCTCTTTTTTTTTGGTTCAATTCGTATCCTCGACGTGACGATGACTACTGACAACAAATACAAGACATATCGAATGACGCCCAACGATTCAAAAGTTTCATTCGAGAGACTGCAGGGGACACTCGTACAAAGGCGTCGAAATATTGAACGATTGATGTAGTTGATGACAGTGATGTTTTGTCGCTGAATCGACATGATCGTGTAGCTTGTCAGAGGCATGCTGCGGGCGATCATTCATTTTTCAAGACTAGTTATTGCCTCTTTCGGACGAGTAACAACGGGTTTGTATTGTTGAATTGATTTTCGGGTTAGAAGCTGCTGCCCGCGCTGCGTTGGCGAGTTTGTTGTTTCGAGAAACGCGTACGCCGGCGCGAGTCGCGCCTCACCCCCGCCGACAGCCGAGCAACGACCATTCGAGGTGGACAATCCTAAAACGTCAAGATATCGGCGACAGGACGCGTGTTTGAGCGCGTCGAGGGCCGAGACCGAACGAGCACCCGCTTGGGCCTCGAACGAGCGCTCATCTAGGCCGTCACGCACGCCATTATGACAGATTTGGCGATCGACACCATCCTTGTACGAGCTTTGCACTCGTTTGACGCGCCTGTCAAAGCTGCTGGACCTGTAGGAACGTCTAACGTCGACGCGTGCTTGTCTTTCAAATCCGGCCAATTCATTACCGTGTTTCACAAGGACAACAGTGGTTGGTGGGATGGTCAACTCGACGATGGACAAAGAGGTTGGTTTCCGAGCAATTATGTTGAACTCGTCACGACAAACGGGGTCAGTTTCGGATTGCATAGGCGCGCGCCGCATGGCGTTGTGCTGCAGTCACGTGCAATTACATAGTGTATGAGCGATGGACGCTGACTGTGCGCATAAACACAGCACCAGGTGCCGTCACAGAGTCGAACGCGATCAGTGTCAGCTGACGTGCCTCGCGAATCGGATCCGTCGAACGCAACCGTTCCCGCCACCGACTTGAAAGATGAAGCTCTCACCTCGGTAATGAGCACACTACCGTCCCCTGATCCGCAACAAGCAATCAAAGACTCTGTCGCAAATGCTGTGGGGCTATTGTCCACTGCGGTCGCTTCTCGACGCGTACCTCATTACCAGCCAAGCACCGCTTGGTTCGTCGCTTTCACTGACGTGGCTTTTGCTTTCGGATTCACTGACCAAGTCTGTGTCTGTAGCATCATCTCGGCCGTCCGAACATTGTTATCGGCGACATCGTGCCTCACACGCGAATCTACAATACTCAAAGCTCACCCTGCCTTGGCGTCCTCGAGGAAACGGATATTGGCAGCCCTGGCATCACTTGTCAATCAAGCTCGCAAAGCGAGCGCGCCAACAGCGACAAGTGGCAACCTTGACGATACTGAAGAACGAAGAGCCGACGCTGAACAAACGCTAAGACTCGCGATGGTCGTGCAAGAGTGTGCCAACGATTTTTTGACTCAAGTGTCAATTCGTAACGTTACCGTTCAACACCCTTTGACGATTGGTTCCACAGACGATGGAACAACTGGTACATATGAACGCAAAGGCAGTATCGACTCGATCGCAATTGGTGCAGGCACGGCACTTCGACAAGCGAAAAGCACACCCGACTTGCGCGCAAACGCATCGAGGCAAAGTAGGCTCTCGAACGGATCAGCAATCCCTCCTCTGCCAACTCCAAATCCACCGCCGTTGCCACCCAAGAATGAGCGCATGTCGATCCCCGTGTTTTCGTCAATCCAACCGAATCAAATGATCTCGAATTCGATGGAGTTGTCAAATTTGATGACGACTATTCACGACGCCTTGTTGTCGACCATTGCAGCGCTCATTGGACACGTGCATGCTCATTCAAGGACCTCACATGCGTCTTCGTTTGCTCAAATGATTGATTTGACAAGAGAAACGATTGAAAGGGTGCGAGACGTGCTCGTCGTCGTTGAAGCCGTCACCAAATCGTCCGCCTTTACCGAAAGCCTTGGAACGCCTGTGGCAGATGGTTCGTTGAGTCAAGATGCTCTCGAGGCAGCTCGAGAGAGGTTGTACATCTCGACCACTTCACTCGTCACTGCCGCTCGAGTCGCTACTTCGACACCGTTGTCGGCATCTCAACCCTCGACACCGAACCCAGAAGCGTTGTTTGCTTCACCCAACGCGGACGATCAAGAAAAGACGCAATTGTTGTCTTCGGCAACCGGCGTTTTGAGAGCAGGTGGCGACTGCATCTCGTTGATCAAGGCGCTACTGACCAGAGTAGGGTCTCAGACGCACCTTGGCATCGTTTTGAAGCCTTCAGAAGGCGCAACATCGCCAGCTACGATAGGTTCACCCGTTATTGCTCAGTCGTCGGCACAATCTCCTTCGTTGTCACCTACGACGAGTCGATTCCAATCGACATCTCCTTCAACTTCACCTTCGTTGACCGGAAGAAGACAGAATGCGCACACGCTGTCCATGCTCGGTCGCAAAGCATCTTCTCTCGTGCCTCTGCGTGACCTGTACGGTCATCGAGTTGCACTCGAGGAGGGAAATGAAGATGAAATGACAGAATTGGCATCGAGGTCACCCGTCGAGTTCCAAGACGCGCCTGACGAATTTGAAAGAAGAGGTAGTCAACTAAGTTGGCACAGTGCCAAAACGGGTCGCGATAGATTTGGATCAGACGTGGGTCTTGGAGTTGGGGCTCAGGCCATGGCTCGACAAGGCAGTCATGCTAGCTCGGCTGGGGCCACGAGCGACACTGTCACTGAAGTAGGGTCTCCAAGTCCAGAGCTTGGTGGCGGTCGAGCTCACTCACCGACAATGTCAAAGCAAGTGAGAGGAACATCGAGGCAGGGCCTACATTCGGCTTCAGCGTCGTCGGGAACAACATCCAGTATAGCCATGTCTCGAGGTGACTCTGCTCGCACGTCGGAATCGGCTGCATCAAGTCGCACAGCATTGTCACGCACATCGACAGGCGACACTTCACCTCGATCCAGCTTTTCGACTACTCGATTGCCACCGCCCAGTCTCGATTTGACGAAACAAATGATTGTGGATGCAACGTCTCCTTCTGCTTTGGCTTCGCCTTCAACTATGTCGTCAATGGCCGGCTTGTCACTGCGAACGACAGCGTCCTCTTCCAACTTGGGCAGCTCGACCAGGTCACTCGACTCGCCCGTATCTGTCATGTCAAACGCGACAACGACAAGCTCTGGGCCCAACAGTGCCAAAGCACGAGACGCAACTCCTTGGTTCTTGAAGCGAGATCATGACGCAAGAGAAATTTCGTTCAACGCAGATGGACATGTCACTGGCGGCACTTTGAGAGCACTCGTCGAACGGTTAACGTTGCATGACACGACGATTGACACGACATTCTCAAACACTTTCTTTTTGACGTTCAGGTTGTTTGCGACACCTCTGTCATTAGCAGAGACTTTGTTTGCTCGATTTGACGTTCAACCACCTTCAATGACCACAGCTGATGGACATACGGTCGGGCTCAAGTCAGATGAGTTCAAGATGTGGCAAGATCGCAAGCTTAAACCTGTTCGACTGCGCGTGTACAATTCTTTCAAGACTTGGGTTGAATCTCATTGGAGTCACGAATCGGATGAACCTGTCGTCGAACCTTTGCTCGTGTTTTGCAAAACAAAATTGACGAATACCATGCCGAGTGCAGCAACTCGATTGATTGACTTGGTCAACAAAAAAATCATTAACGTTGTTCAACATGGTACCATTGCTAGTCCAACTTCCCCAACGACACCTGTCACACCCGTTCATCCTGCTGTTGCTCAACATCGTGGATTAACTCGAATGCAATCAATGGAAAGGTTCCGCGTAACCAAGTTGTCAGCTTTGACATTGTCATCGACGTCTTCAGCTTCTACATCATCTTCACATTCAACTCCAGCAACGGCTCTACAAGGCACTTTCACTGGCCCACCACCTCCTCAACCTGTCGTGTCACGATCAGTGTTGTCCTCATTGCGTACAGGTCACGTCTCTGTCGTCGACATTGATCCATTGGAACTTGCACGTCAATTGACCATCATTGAAAGTCGATTGTACTGTGCCATCAAGCCAAGTGAACTATTGGGACAAGAGTTTGCCAAGAAAGGACCAGATCACGCTGTCAGTGTCAGAGCCATGAGTACACTCAGTACAAAATTAACTGGATGGATTTCTGAAACAATTTTGAATGAACACGATGCCAAAAAGAGAACGGCATTGCTCAAATACTTTGTCAAACTTGGTGATGTGAGTTTCACATTTTAGAGACAGTCTGGGCTCATTTGTCTTATTGAGCTGATCAATGTCGTCTTGATGCAGCGCTGTCTAACTCTTGACAATTACAACACTTTGTTTGCCGTCTTGTGCGCTCTCAATTCATCCACCATCGCTAGATTACGTAAAACTTGGGATGGACTTGGTACAAAATATAGAACAATGTTGGATCAACAAAGAAAAGCAACTGAACATTCTCGTAATTATGCTGAATACAGAAGTAAGATCAGAAATGCTGTACCACCGTGTTTACCTTTTGTTGGTTTGTTCTTGTGAGTTTGTGACTTGAACATTAAGTTTTGACTTGATTCAAAGCAAAGCTGATTACGGGTTCACCTTTTGGGTACGTATCAGAACCGACATGACAATGTGTGTCGAAGGTAACCCTCAGGAAAGACCGTCACCTGTCGATCCTTCTCTTCGCTTGATCAATTTTGATCGTTACCAGGTAAGCTCAATCACAAACTGTATACTCTTGCTCATGTGAACTGACGATTCTTGATTGATTTCGTTGGTCTCGATAGAAAATGGCAAGAGTAGTAGGTGAACTCAAAAGATTTCAACATCCTTACAATTTAGCTCAAGTTTTAGAAATACAAGAATATTTAAAATCAAGTCTTGATGATTTAACTCATGGTGGTGATGCTCATAGT